GGCTCCTCGCCAGGCATGTTGGGAATTGTAATCTCTTCACTGCTCCCGACTGCTCGCTTGCGGAGCTGCAGGACTACCACTCCCAGGATGCTCCGGGGGCGGGGGCAGTGTCCTCTCCTCTCGGGGGGAGGGGAGGGGCGGCGTGCCCCCTGCCGACTCCAAAGCGCGCTGGCTAGTTTGGTCCCGCCCCTGGTGGGGTGCTTTCCCGGGAGGGAGTGGGGGCCGAGCCTGGGAAGTAAAAGAGCGAGTGATGGGTGCGACGTGGAGCCGCGGGTCGGAGGAAAATCGGGGCCGGACTCAGCGCCCCTCCCCACCTCTTGATTCTTTATCCCTCCTCGTGGGAGCGTCTTGCCGAGTCCGGACCCAGGAAGCACGTGCTTTTCTAAACTATTTAGGGGAGCTAGGTTTAGATCTGAGAAAATTCCCGCTTTGCCTGCTGTCTTCTGTGGTCTCCAGCCAAAGCGCGACAGTTCGGCAGCTTTGTGTAGAAATGCGCCGTGGTGGCCCTGCTTCCCAGCACAACTTAAGAGCTTTACAGGGGTGCTAACATCGGTGTTGCTTCGTGAAAATGTCATTCTCGTGGGGGTGCTTTGTGTAAGTTGAGGCCTCAGTGAGGTTAATGATCTAGCATCCGGCAAGAGAAGAGAATAACCCCAGTGCCAGTCAAGTGTCCAATGGCTCGGTTTCACCAACCCATGTAAGTGGCGAGGTCTCCAAAAACTCAACCTGAAAATGGTTTTAGCCCTTTACACTTTAAATTCATCAGCCTCATTTCCACCCAGACCTGACTGCCATGGCAGTTTCTCAGAGACACAGGTGGTGAGGCCGGTCCCTTAGGAATAGACTGGTGTTTGAGCTTTGGGAGAGTGCTTTTCAAGGTGGGCAGCACTTGGGCAACATTTGAAACCGTTTAGGTTTAACATCTCTGCTTTAGACAAAAGCTCATCGCAGGCAGCAATCGGGGTGTGTATCTTATCTTTTCCAGGATGATCTGTAGAATTTTTCTGTCTAGAAAATAGAAACAGCCTGGACCACTTCTGCTTCCATGGAGCCTCTTAATGATTGATGTCCCTAATTTCCTTATGCCCTAAGGGACAGTCCCGTTGATTCCAGCCTGGTACCAGGTTAAACAAATTTAGGGATATTCCACTGTACCATATCTCCTTAAAAATTAATTAGAGCAGTGGACAGGATATAAAACATATTGTTTATTTGCAAAAGCTTTCCATTAAAGTTTTTTTTGCTTCTTTAACTTTAATGTTTGGATACAGAAATGAAGAACGTGAATTGTCAAATTTCTCTTTTCCTGAGACTGGTAAATTAATGTAAGAGTTTTATAGAAACCCATGGGGGAATAGTTAGCAGCCTTCATATGTTATAGCATCCTTAAAAAGCTGGAGGCTGATCTACATGAAAGTAAGACTGGTTTATGTTACACATTCCAAATAGGTTTCAATTCTGATTCCTGAATGTGGGATTCTGTCAAAAGAACTGAAAAACCTAGTCATGGAAACTGGACCCTATTACTTTGTGAAGAACTTACCTCTTCATGAGTTAATTACACACGAATTCATCAACACCTTTGTGAAGAAAGGTAAGAAAAATCTTGTCGTGTCTGTGAATGTGGCAAGATGAGGAAGTATAGTTAGATCACATCACGATACTAGGGCTCTTCTCTTGTCTTAAATAGGGCCTGTGGAGGTAGTCTGCGTGGTCAAGTGCATGCATCACTCCCCCTCCCTCAGTATCCTCACCCTACTTTTTCTCGTGCTCTCTTTAGGTGGTGGTTTCTGATGACACTTGTCCACGAGTGTGGCATGGGGATGTTGTAACATAAAGCTATCCCTCATCTTAAAACAAGGATTCAGGGAGAGGAGAGAGCCTTGGGATCTGTGTGTTCAGATACACTGCTGTCGGTGCGTGGCCACAAAGACCACTGTGTTCCCAGCAGTCCCCACTCAGCCGCCTCGAAAGGTTCATCTCCTCATGCCACCATAGCAGCTGTTCACCGGGCGGTGTGCTCATTATGGTTCAGTGTCTTCTGCTTCGAGTGTGTGGCTCTGACCCTCTCTGCTCACCCCACCGCATTTCCATTCGTATCTGCTGGGTTGGTGGCTTTGTTCCAGTTGTTTCCTAGGGAGCACTTGTTTGAAACTGTATTTCAGACTGTCGTTAGGGATTCCCCCCTCACCACGTAAGTCACTGTACTTAGAAGTAAGCAAGCCCCTTCTCTTGCTGTAGGCTCCATATTCGTCGCCTGCAGGGAGCCCTGAAGAATCCAGTGACTTCCAGTTCCTCTCATTCGGGTGCTGCTGGCCCTGCTTGCGAAGCTGGCCATGCGTGTTGTCTTTGGTCCCGTCAACTTGAGTCCTTTCATCTATTTTGAAGTTTGGTGCTGCTTTGTTAATAATGTGGCCATTGGCTGTAAGGGGCACTTTTACATATCTTAACCAGTTGAACTCTTCCAACAGCTCTGTGAGTTAGGCCTATGATCCCCATTTTACAGGTGAGGAAAACTGAGGTTCACAGAGACTGAGGGGCTTTCCTAACCTCACACAGGGTCCTGGCACATTTTGAATCTTTACCTGGAACTCTTCCTCCCAGGAGCGTGCACTGACCTAGTATTCTACTTTGTGCCTCTCTGCCAGCACTCTCAGCGGTACACACCACGCCCTGAGTCCATTTCCTGCTTGATGGTAGTCACCTGGCACAGATAGGCCCTGGGTGGGGGTGTGAACTAGCTGTTGTGTGGCCTCTGTGTCCTCGAGCTCACCCTTGGCAGGTTTTAGGGTTATTTGTTTATAGATTTTATTTATTCATTTGAGACAGAGAGAGAACACGAGCAGGGAGAGGGAGAAGCAGGCTTCCTACTGAGCGGAGAGCCCGATGCAGGGCTCGAACCCAGGCCCCTGGGATCATGACCTGAGCCGAAGGCAGACACTTAACCATCTGAACCACCCAGGCGCCCCAGGTTTTAGGTTTATTGAGGGAGCTGGAGCCGTGGTGGGTACTGACCCTTACTCACCTGGCAGATACGTTATCATGTGAAGAGAATCCACTAACTTTGCAGGTGTGATTTTTTTTTTTTTAAATTTCTCGTCTGGGCTTTCTTACAGGTTCGTGCTGTGCACTAACATACAATACAAATATCGATGAAGATAATACTGTGGCCCTGCTGCCAGACGGTAACAACACTCACTTTCTCTTTAATTTTAAAAGAAATACT